CTTCAAGTCTTTTGTGACCTTCCACACCATAAATGATATTACCAGGCTTTTTTTACGGTCTTTTATAAATGTTGTGAAGTCAATCACTACCAAATGGATATTCTTAATTAACAACACTTCTATCATTACACTGAAAGAATCAAATAGTCAGCCATCCTCATTTAAGACATTTGGAACTGGGAAGTTATCATAGAGACATTGTGCTACATATATAAATAATTGTTTTATAAGTTGGCTATAATTATGCCCCAATGCACAGAAATAAACTTTCGACAGAATTACTAACTCTGACAGCAGGAAAAAAAAAGTAGCTTTCGTGACATACATACCCAAGAACACACAAGATCTTAAAGGTAGTATATAACAGAAGAAACAGAACTATTATATATAAGACATTATTGTTTCTGACCACAGGTCATTATCTCTTGTCTACAACAAAAAGCTTGCCCTTCTCCAGAAATAAGGAATGAAATAAAATGTTCTATTGACCCTTTGGTTCTCAATATAACTCATCAGAATACAAACTGTAAGAACAATTTTTTTCGGCATTAGTATTTTTGCTAGTATTACAGAAAGAGATATTATTAAAAAAAAAAAAAAAAAGTTTTCTATTTTGAAACTGAAGAAAGCTCTTGTTTAAATAATGGGTTATATAATTTCTTGTAATTCTATTCTGCTGTTTCAGATCCCTGCATTATTAATAATCCTAAGTGCCTGAGTGTGAATTTTATTTATCAATTTTTAAAGTGAAAAATTGAACTGAGCCAGAGATGACAAATTTAAGTTTTCTCCATTATATTCTGCATTAATTGCAAATTAAGGATAAACTGATATCAATTTATATTTCAGGAAGCTGTACTGTTCATTTACTTCTTTTAGACCTAAAACTAAATCAGTGTCAAGTATCATGCTAGTAGGCACTGTATTGTTAGAAATATTTGAATGGATTTTTGATTCTGAAACACTGGTATAAATATAAACTAACATCAACAGAAACACTCTACATTTATGCCAACATGAACATAATCAGACACTGACTTATTCTTTTAAAAGATGTAAAGCTCATATTGTAATTTCTTTTGTCAATAGAAAAGCCATTGCCCAGACCACATTTTAATTAACCACTCTGAATTCTGTTTGCAGATTCAATTAAGAAAAGATATTATTCTTCACTTCATGCCCTAACCTGTTCTTCAAAGTTACAATGCAGTTTACTGAATATATTATCAGTTATGGATTCTAAGAAACTGTTCTAGCAGTTTTTTGAACAATAGTTCATATTTATGAATAAAATTCACTACTAGAAGGGAGAAAAAAAATGAATTAAAGTATTATAGTTACCCTTAAAACTAAGGGTAAATAAGCACAGAACTGGGGAAAGACTCCAGTGATCATTTACATTCCTCTCTTTCTCATTCCCCACATTTAGTTTGCTATATGAGCATTAATAGCCCTATATGATCATTATAGCATGACACATTTCTGTCTCTAGAATCGCTATAACAGAAAAAGCCAGAACAATCAAAATCAGAAGTTTAAAAGCATTGATTTACTCATATAAATAATGGGCCCAATATTTTGTAATGAATGAATTCATTCCTAAATGTTTTGTGAACAATATTCAATTTACTTTATAGAATCAAAGAAGCACCAGTTGGGAGGCACCTCTGGAGACCTCTTGTCCAACCTCTTATTTAAAGCAAGACTGTCACCTAACTGGGCCAGGCCAGCTCTGCCTTTGTCTGAGTTATGAAAAGCACCCAGGGTGGAGATTTCCACCAGCTCCATGGGTAACCAGTTCCAGTGCCGCATCACACTCTTTGTGGAAAAATTTTTCGTCCTCAGCAATCTGAACGTCCCAAGGTGCAACCTGTGGATGTTGGCCCTTACTACAACATCTGCCATTTCCAAGAGTAGTTCTGGCTTTTCTGTCTTTGACAGGAAGCATGCTTCAAGCAATGGCAGGCTGCTATTAGGTTGCCCTTGACCTCCACTTCACTAGACTAAACAAGCTCAGATCCCTCAACCTCTCCTCATGTGACATGTACTTTAGTCTAGTTTGTCTCAACAGCCCTCCACTGGACCCTCTCCAGTCTCTCAATATCCCTCTTGATCTGGGAATCTCAAAACTGAATACAGTATTCAGTGTGGCCTCGCCAGTGGTGAGTACAGGGTGTAAGAAATTCCCTCAGTCTGCTGACCTTGCAACTCCTGATGCAGCCCAGTATGCATTTTGTGTTACTCATGATGAGAGCATGCTGCTTGCTCTCATTCTACTTGGCATCCACAGTAATCCCCAGGTTCTTTTCAGTGTTGCTGCTATTTAGCCAGTCAGTTCCCATTTTGAGTGGATGCATGGGGTTATTTTGCCCCAGGGGCAGAACTATGGACTCCTTGATTTTTTTGATGTTGGCTGCCTCCTCAAGATTATGAAGATCTGCCTGGAGAGCAGACTTGTCGTTTGTCTTGTCAGCCACTCTGCTGATTTAGTATTGTCATAAAATCTGCCAATGGTACTATTTCATCAAGTGCTATATATTTATAGCACACTCTAGTATGATATAAAGAACAGGCTTTTACCTCTTTTATTGAGTGTGGATCCTTTGCCTTTTCTGGACATCCTGAAGTCTTTCTGTGGGACTTTGCCTTTTAACAAGCCTTTGATAGTTACCAATACTCTGTTTAACACATTTATTTTCTGTTACATCTACTTTTCATGCTCATTATTTTGAAAACTACATTAGCGTTTGCTTTCCCTGCTGTTCTAATGCAGAGGCAAATGTCTTTATCTTAATAGTGACTTTGACACGTCTCTTGGCTGAGTAACTTTTGGCAAATTAGACTGTGTAAACAGCTTACTACTTCTGAGTAAAATAGTCAGAGATACTATGAAGCCAAGAGTGAAAGAATTCTCAGAAGCATCAAACTGCCAAACTTAGGATCATTCCCAGCAAGACTATCAATATTTGTCCTTTAATAATTATCCCAGTATTATAAAAACTGATATAAATACAGTCATTTCATTTCATCTTCAGGTAAGTAGCTCCTTCCTGATTTTTAGCACGAGAAGCTACCTTTACAGATGCTTACAATGATGACAGTAATGCCTGACCTTCCTTTTCCCCCACAATAATAAAATTAAATAACTTATTACTGAAAACAACAGCTTGTCAAATCTACTGTGAGCTGCATAGTAATTTCTGAAGGTAATTCTGCCCACGTTATATCACAAACCTCCACCATTATCACAGGAATCAGTCATTTCACAGTACCAAATTATTTACATATTTTCTTCGTTGGATACCTCAAAAAAGTCCCATCAAGTATGGCAAATCAGATAATCAGAACTGTACTTATTGTCAACCATTACTCTCTTACACAGATCCATTAGCAACTTAGCTAGCTAGTGTAATATAACAGATATTAACAAAGCAAAGTATGGCTCAGATTTTCTCAATAAAGATGATGCAGATGATAGGATTTAGGTTACAATGCTTCTACAAAGCATGTGGCATTTGGATTTCAATTCATGTTCAGTAACTGCTAATTATCTTAAAACAGGGAGGAAAGAGGGTTAAAAAAATGCATAATGCTTTATGCTCAGTTTACAAAGGGATCAATGTCTTTTGTTGATAGTTTGGTCCTATAGCTTATGAATTTATTTTCCTGTATTGTACTAGAATTGTTTGAGGATATAGAACAGCACAGAATTTGACTGACTGTATAGGAATCCTCACATCTATGAATTTGTAATGTTGAAGCATGGATTTAATAACTAAATTATGTCTCAGAATAGAAAATATACTTTGTTTGCAGTGTGTATTATATGATAGGTGTTTTCTTGGAAAACTGGAATGTTTGGTTTTAGCATCTAGAGATAAAAAAGCAGGCAAAAATTGAGGGAAACAGAAAACAGTGTTAGAGTATGCTCTGAAATCTCTTGTACTAACTAGAGACTAGTTGTCATCACTGATTAGATCAACTTCAAGAATTTAAACAGAAAGCTTATTTTTTCCATAGTTTCTAGTCCATTATAGTAGCTATTTGTCTCCTTCTACCAGCAGGACTGGCCAAATAAATTACACCATGGATAATTTACTAATATTTCTGTAATAATTTTGAAATAAGAAAAAGAGGCCCTCCATCCCAGAAAACTTATGTATAAACATTTGCCTTTATGAGGTTTTGATAGCACTCTGAGGAGGTCATAGACTTGAAGTAATACTAACCAATCTTATCTGTAGAATGAGCATACACCAAAACACTAAAGTAATTATAATCTCTATTTTTTTTTTAGATCACAGACAACCCCCTAAAATAGAGGAAATGCAGATCTTCTGGATGATGCAGATAAATAATAGTTTTGAAAACATATCTTCTCCCTGTTTTCTATTTCCTTCCAGATGCTCTGGAGTCCAGCAATTTGCACTGCCTTCCTGGGTTGCAGCAACCTTCACATAGTCTCCCCCTGGGTCTCTAGGAATGTATCCTCTCCTTGACCTTTGAGGCTTGGCTGTAGATCTGCTCCGTTGCAACAAACAAGCCATGTGCTTTGTCAGGAGTCTTTCAGTCTGCGTGCAGACATTGTGATCTCCTCCTTTCCCTCCCCACCGTCCACCTGACACAGACTGCCACAGCCAGGAAAAGCAGAGGCAGCCTTTCTCGCTGCTGTTCTGTCACACTATTTTTAACCAAATAAGAAGAAAGAAAGGCAAAAAAATAAAAACAACCACCATCATAAAATAGAGACTCAAGCATAAGCAAAAAGCTAATATTTTCATCTGTCATGAAGGCAAAAAGCAGTAGAAATTGGAGGCATTCTGTAGTGACCCAATCTAAACTGCCAAGACTTTCCCAGTTTTCAAGCTCAGATGTGTACCCCGTTCATTTTCCTCCCTCAGGTAAGACCTGAGGTTAAGCCTGGACTCATCAAATCCCCTTAGGCCCTGGTTTCTGGGGAGAGAAGATGCAGATATATGAGCCAGAATGGTTCAGACTTATGCTCATCTTTCAGTGTCTGGATTACACCAGCATAGCCCAGAATAAGGATGACATAAATATACTTGTATTAGGCAATACAGAAAGGAGCAGATCGGTAGATGTTACAAAATAATTAAAACGTGTCTACCGTTTTGTCTGACCTCACTAGTCACCTCTCAAATATTTTGTTGAATAATTGTCCAGCCTTCAACACTGATACCTGTTGTCATGGTATCTGACTGTCTCCTAAAATAATAAAAACACAAGATCAATTCCAATCTGTGCAGATGAAAAACAAAACATAACATTAGAAAGTTTCTACTTCAGCAAAACTCAGTGAAAGAGGTGGCTATTACTGAATGTAGGTTTTTGTAGGAAAGTGGCATTATTATGAGTTGAAGTACTCACCGGAACAGTCTATGGGAAGTGCCACTGTTGTATGCTAGGGGAGAAAATAAACAAGAAATACGAAGTGAACTCGTTTGGTAATACAAATGGCTCTCCCATAACCACATCTCATCTCTTTTTGTCAGCCTTTCTCTTTAGCAGCATTCATTTACTCTCTCAGATACCAACAACTCTATCAGTCAGGATAATCTACACAAAACTGACAAATTTCAAATTCTGTTTTCTGCAGTTTACCAGCTTCAACTTTGCTTAATCATGAAAGATATTACCTCTGCTGGGATTCTCTGTGGCGTGTTCATGTCAGTCCATGCCCTCCTGCTCACTGTTTCATCTTGCCATGTGTTTCCTGTTGTCTATAAACTCAACAGATAAATTAGATTCATCATGTCTTTGCAGCATTTTCTAGTAGAAAGACTTTTTCCTTGCTGATGTTTCCTGCAGATACATTGTAAATTCTTTCTGAAGCCTCCTTGAAAATCCATTCCACTCTACTATTTTTTATCCATGGTAACAAATTTTTTGGCAGACATCGAGTCGCTCATGTTCATGTCCAAAATGTCAAGGATCACTGTATTTTTCTATAGAGACTTTCCATATGCCTTTGATAGTGATTTTTCACTAAAACCCAGTATGGTCCTGCCATTACGAAGCAGTTGATAGCATTTAGGATTTATGTCAGGTTGTATCAGCCTTTAATGAAACAGATTTCCAGCTCCAACTTTTGCATTGTAACAGCCGTTCATAAGCTCCATACATTTCTGAAGAGGCAAAGACTATTAAAAAGTTTTTAAAAAATCTCCATAAGTAGATGTTTGTAAGATCTGTAAACATCTTCATTTGACTTCTCAGTCTTCTCATTTCTCAAGGGAAATACAAGACAGAAACTTCAGAGATCAGACTGAAGAACATAGAATATGTCCCACCTTTTGTAGCCAGCTGTTCGGTGTTTAGAAAAAGGAGACAGCATTTCTCTAGAGAAACTATAACAGAAGTCTGTAGTAGTAGAACATAAAAATTATGTTATTTTAAATATATAATTTTTAAGTTGCATTCAAGACAACAGGTATATAGATAAGCAGTCTAAGAAGCCTTGTTCTTTATAAGTAGCCTTCTATTTCTGAGATGTTTTGAGATCCTCTTCTGTATAGCAGAAGTGGCAATATGCTAACAAATCAAAAGACCATGATTTAAAAAAAAATTATTCTTGACCCCAAATCTGGAAGCATTCACAAATTTAAAAGTGGAGGGGAAGAGACACCATGAGAATAACGTCTAGGAAATATTATAAAAGTAGCAGAAATAAACTGTGAGTATTCTCACCAATTAGAAAGGAAAAGTATATCTTAGTTTAAAAATATTTTCTTAGAGATGGTAATGTGGAGAGTTAGGTTCGGACCTTGCAAATTACCTGCCAAGCTATGCTAATAATTTAAAAGAAATATGTTATAGGCATGATAGTACTTAAACTAAAAGGGCAGCTGAGGTGTTCTGCATATACAGTACTGAGAGGAAAGAGTAGTGTACTTTTATAAGCCTACCTCTTTCAATTTATCCATCAGACGAGCAGACTCTAAAGGGACATATTAAGATATAACAAATCCTTTTGGCAGTAATATCTGGAAAATCTCTAGAAGTAGCTTACTTTTCTAGAGTGAAAAAATACTCTCCTGAATGATCTATAGTACATGGTACAAGTCATCAAGGCTCTAAGTTTTCACTTGGACACAAAGATAGGGAAAAGATGTACATTAAGACATCTTTTCACTTGGGAACGTGTCAAGAAAATACTGGAAATTTACTGTAGTTACCTCATGGTTGAGATCCTATAAAATATATAAATTCATACATTAATACATAAACCCCAGATACAGAGCAGTAATTTTTTGGTCTAAAATCTATAGAGATTTTTCACGTTCTGTTACTAACCTCTGACACTATTCTATTCATTTGTGTGTTTTCAATATCTGTTGTTTATATGCTGTATTTTTAACTCTGATGTAATATTTCAGGGCACGAAAAGGCTATTAGGGTAACAATGAACCTTCTTTTTTTTCCAGCATTCTTTTGCTGACCTCTCTTGAGTAATGCTCATGTGTGTTTATTACTTAAGTATGTTAACATTACCAAAGCACAAGAAAAAAATGGAAAAAATCTAGATAGCTTAGAAAATCTTGTACATCTGCAGTTGTCACATGGACTGTTTTACTTTGTTTTTTTTTTTTTTTTCATATATACAGTGGTGGAAAGTCATTTCATATTTTGGAAAAAATAAAATATTTAGGTTAGAAATATCAGTTCACAGAGCACCTCCCATAGGTCCATATTTAATTGGAAAATGCAAGAATGACAAAATCAATTCATTCAAAAGAATGACAAGGCAGTTAGTGGATTTAGAAATTGCAGGAAATCTTTGAAATATTTACCCAGCTGAAACTTTCAATCGTATTTCTTCTTTGAAATTTTACTCTCTCTTTCACCTTACTGCATGGAAGTATATTTATTTTCATAAATGATTTTCATTTTACTCATACAGTCAGTAACACTGAAATGAGATGCTTCTTCTTCCATTTTCTCATCATATGGAAAATTCATGAAAATGTAAGAGCAATGCAGTGGATGGAAAATTATTGCTTTCTCTCATAAAAGTGGCCAATAGAGATTCGGAATATTTACTGTAATAATCCCAGAATACAGCAATATTTTCAAAGTTGGACAGGTGCTAAGTATTTTGTTTTGTTAAATTGGCTAACCTTCCATAAATCAAGTATATCCCTTCTCAAGTTAGTTTTAACTGTTTCTGGGCAGCTTTTCAGTGAGCTACTTCAAAACGATCCTACCATGCTTTTCAGATGACCAAATCTGTTTACTAATACTAACTTTTCAAGCAAGGGCATCAATATTCTCCACCTTTGCAGAGAGCATTCTAATTACTTATACATTTCTTAGGTTCTTTCGATCCTAAGAATCACAGAGTGAGCCTACATCGACACTTTAGCTCAGGTGTCATCTTTTGAAGCAAATTTACTGAACATTCCCATTTAATAATCCTTTCATTCATATAATGGACTGGTCTTGAATTCCTGCACAAACTGGATTTTGGAATGACAGTGATTAGAAGGTGAGTTTGGCAAGTGTTCAGTCCACAAAATGACTAGAACTGGACAAGCATTAGAGCCTCCTGAAATGTGTGAAAGTCAGATCCTTAGTACAGACTGTTTCATTTTATTAATTTGATTATATTGCTCTGTGCTACTTGCTAATGTGGACACACAGTTTCCAGCTGGACTTGATTTTATAGACCCTCACATGAAGAACCAAATTCCAAAATGATTTAGGCACTTAAAATACCATTAAAATATATGTAGGACTTAAGTATGTAATCTTCTTTAGGACTTATGAAAATTTCATTCTTTGTTACCTGCATCTTTAAATACCTAAATATCTTTGGAAATCAGAACCTTTTATTTCTGTGCTGCAGTTCCAATTCCTTAAAATAAGGATAAATAATGATAACCAGTTTGACAGAATCTGATGAAGATAAATATATTAAAAAATGTAAGCTGTTCAAACCATGGAATAAGAGGGTTGAATCAGTAACATAGATTGCTTTCATATCACAGATCAAGGTTAAACAAAGGCTAAAGCTCTGCATGCATGATTTGCAAATGCAGTTATGCTAATAGCATGATGATCTTAATTAGATGATCAGCTGCATATCTGACTTTTGATAATAAGTCCTAATGTGACTTGCTAATCAATGTCAGATATGGGAATAGAATGTTGAATTTCTAACTTGTGAATCCATGCCGTAATTACTAAACCAGACTGCGTCCCTAATGTCATCTTTCATTTCAAAATATTCTATCTACTGCTTGTACTCATATCAAGTATTATTTGAACAGCTTTTTGTAGATCCACAGACTTTAAGACCAGAAGAATCTACTATAATCATATTATCCAACTTCTAAATGACAAGACCAAAAGAATTTCTTGTTATTTCATATTGGGAAATTATTATTTTTGGGGTTTATTATAAATTAACATTATCAGTCTTAATTTTTGACTGGGCTAGAGAACATTTTTGTCAAAGACATCTAATTTTGATTTCAAGATTCCAAGTGATGATGAATTTGTCACTTTCCATGAGAAGAAATGTCAATTATTAATAGCCCTAGCCCTCAATGTAGTAAGATGCTCAAAAATAAGGTCAGATCCATCCTGTTTTTAAATGTTGCATTTAATTGCCAGTTTAAATGTTTCTGATTTCTGCTTTCAGCCACATTAGTATCTTGTTATGCTTTTAACTGCTAGATTAAAGATTCCTACATCTCAGATCATAGATTACTCTATAAAGGAAACTATGAAAGAAAATTAATCACTTTAATCACATTGCTTATTCACTGAAGGAAGTAGTTCTGATATATAAGAAAATAATAGAATTATTTTTGCTTCAACTATTTCATTTTTCTTTTTACTTTAGCAATATTGCAGACAAATCTTAAAAACAAACTATTACAAAAATGGATTTTAAAATGAAACTGAAAGATTTGCCTGGGTTCATTCTTTCCAATGGATGATTCCTGTATTCTATACCTGAGAGACAGGGAAAGAAAGGAAAGAAACCATTCTTTCTTCCTGAAACCAAACTGTGTAGTTGTCAGCTCTTTCTTTGGGCTTTGTTGACACATTAGAAAATCATCTTAACAACTGGGATTCCTATTAATTAACTCACTGGAATAAATACAACTGTCAAAGCAAAATAGGGTATTGCGGAATTTCCACACACAATATATCATTACTCCTTTAATGGATGGATGTTAAAATTAATAAAACTGAAGAAGTACATAAAGCTGATGTGACAACACACTGAATCTAAGCTTCGTTTATATAAAAATATTACGTTAAATAATATCAAAATTTTATATCAGGAAAATACTAGTGTATAAATTTATTATCAATTGAAAATATTCATATAGAACTGAAGAATGAGAAAACTTACATAAAAGACAGAAGGTATTTTTCCTTCTGAATGCATAGTACTACATACAATGGTACAAGTGCAGTAATATGTGCAAAAAACAAAATCTATGAAAAAATCTTATACGGATATTTCATTTTATCTCTACAAAATTAAATGCTAGATTGTGGCCTAATTGTAGCATGATATGTTATTTTTTATCTTATACAAAATTTTACTGTGGGGAAGGGGAAAACAACAAGATGTTTCTCATTTAAAAAGTGCATGTTTGCTGCTGCAGCTGCAGCTTTGGCTTCATTTCATAGTTTGAGCTCTCAAAGGGCCTAGAAAGGAACAGTAATAGCCACTTTGGCCCCAAACTTATCACCTCTAAAATACAAATGGAACAGGAAGAAAATTAGACTTGTTTTCTAGTAAAAATTTTCACTGAAGAAAAACTACACATTAAGTTA